CGTATCGGGCCCGCAGCGTTCGTAAATACGAGACCGGTCGACTCATCGGCCCTTAGAAGCCCCTTTGTGATCGAGCCGCCACTCGACTTTTTATCGAACTGTCGCTTATGATTGAAAATCACTGCGCGTTTTAATAGTCCAGCGGATTCGATTTGCCCCGTCCCACCGGTGCCCCGGTGCCCGGCGTCCCCCACCACTTCCCGGGAGCTTTTTTGCCCGGCACTGTTTACCAGCTTTCGCTTTTAACACCTTAACGACGGGAACGTATCGGTAACTCGCGAGTCGCCTCGACGTCGCTCCGATAAAACTCTTGGAAATCGTGATTGTAGGTTCATACGTTGTTCGGACGATCACGGTGGGACCTTCGATTCGACGCGATATCGTGTCATCCGCCGTTAAGGCGTCAATTTCGTCCGACTGCGGACGTCGGGGCGGTTTCTATCGAATCCCGTAGATTGGCGTGTCGGACGGCCGAGAACGGCGATAAAATCCCCGATACTCCCGCTAATATCCCTGAATCCCTGCAATCTCTCAATCGGAAAGTGCATGAAACCGGGCGCAAGTGTTCCCGTGCGCAGTTTATGAAGTTACATACCCGGCTTCTTCCCCCCTTATACATCTTCTTCTTTATACGTCCACTAAATTCGTCTCGCGTAAAAATCAATAACAACATTAATGCTAAATGAACCGCGGCACGCCAATAAAGTTATCGAAAACGTCCGCCTCCCGGCCACTACGTCCCCATCATTACCACTATTAAAATTCCGAATGTCCCCCATAATCCCGTGGAAACCGCTCGGGCAACATTGAAGCGAGGCAACAAAGAGGCTGCTGGCCGGCGTGTAACGCGAGAGGGGGTGAATTTATAACGAGAAAAGGACGAGGGGAATAGACGGCAGCGTCGTATAAACGCTTCTAGAATTAGCTTCCAAGATTGTTGCCGGGCCCCGTGAACATCCCCGGGCCGTCCGTCCGTCCGGCTGGCTCGCTGGCTCGCTCGCTGGCTGGCTGGCCGGTCGGTCGGTTGCTACGAAAAAGAAAAATGGGGAAGATCGGCGTCGAACGATTCCACGGGGCCGAAGCCGAGTTTACGGAGCCGCGGCCAATTAAGGGGGGCCACTCGTTAAGCGGCGAAGGGCCGGGCTGCGGCCGACGCAACGGCACGGGGAGGACCCAGCAGCGAGCGCGGGAGAAAAACGATTATTTACGTGCAACGTCACGTCGGGCCCCCGTTCCCTGCCGCCGGGGAGCATTGAAATCGCGCGTCCGTTTTTGCCGGAGCGGAGGCGCAGCGAACTTTCAGCGAAGTTTCCACCACGGGCAAGTTTTGAATCGGGCCGGGCGTGTGCCGGTGACGCGCTCGCAAGAAACACCCCCTTCGAGCAGCGCGCCGAGCCGAGCCGCGAACCGGCGGACCGCCTATCCGGCCGGGAGTTTCTAATTAAAGATCCGAAACTTTGCGCGTCCGTGTCGCAAGAAATTCCTCGAGCGGCGCCTCGCGATTCGGAAAACCGACGGTGCTCCGAGGAATCGAACGCGGCTCGAGAGGTGTACTGGAACTTCCGATCTTCGGGAACGAGTTTCGCAGCTACCTTCCCTCGGAGATGTATCATCGAGTATAATCGAGCAATGACACGGTTACTGAGTAGCTTCGAACCTTTGTTTTCCAAGTTTAGTTAATTATCTTTCCTTGGAGAGGGAGGACGTTGGATAAGGGAGGAGAGTTGATCTTTTTTGAATGAAGATCGGTTGTGACTTGTGTTGAGATTGAACGATTCGAGTAACCCATGAGGTTACGGGATTTCTTATTCTATCGGAGATTGAGAACGACTTCGTCGAGCTTCGGGGTTGAACAGTATTAGCGAGGACAGGTTGATAAAGAGATCGAGAGTGTCTCGGCAGCGAGTACGTTCGAGGAAGGATCCTTCACCGTCGCCGATCGTGTTCGAACGAATTTTACCGTGTCTAGATGAAGGTGGTTTAGTTGGACGCACCTTGAAGAGGAGACTTGACCTGGTCCCTCTCGGCCGCCTGATGCTGCCGCGATTTTCTCTCCAGCTCGAGTTCCTGGACCAGCGACTCTGCGACAACAGAAGAGAAAACATTGGTTGATTATCGTGCAGCTCCGTTCGGTCCTCGACGTTTTAACACGTTCACCGTATCTATAGAATTCGGTTGCTTTCATAGATCTCAGAAACTTTCCCTGGACACATCGAAGATGACAGATGCACGATAATTGCCACAAGCAATATCTACGAAAATCTTGATTCACTCGTTTCATTGAGAAAAGTGTTTCGACCATGTAGGATATTAACGAACGATTCGGCGGTGAACGTGTTAACAGCTTACCGTACCTAATGACCTACCAAGCTAACCGCTGCTAGTTCTTTTACAATCTCTGCGTGGCTTAATTACGTTTAGCGAACGTAACGTCCCTCAGCGATAAAAACCGAGCGATAAAATAACAGAATATAAAACGTCCGCTCGGGCAACCTCTCCGGGTACCGTGACCCCTGCGAGGGTTGATGCAATCGATGCAGATGGATACGATTAAAGGACACCGACGGCTCTAAACGTCTTAGCCGTCGATCTCGCCGGGGCGTGAACATCGGGAGCGCGCGCGGACGATGAAACGGAGCGGTAATTAGTGGAAAACCAGCCACCGCGAGGAAAGGGGCGCAGACAGGGATAACGGACGTAGGCAGGCGTGAAAGGGCCGCGGGTTTGCTCACTGAATTCCGCAAGGATTAGGGTGAAAACTGGAAAATGTCCCTTTAATGATATCGCGCCGAATTAACCGTGGCCGGGCTCCTCGTTTCGGTCTACTTCGTTAAGCTCACGGAACCTCGTCCCTTCTCGCTCCACGATTTCGATTCTTCCGGACGCTGGAATCTGGCCACCGAGTCAGGTAATTCTTATCGAATATTCTTCGTAGGGGTCGTTTCGCAAACACGGGGAGAAATGTTTAAAATCTAGTCTGCGTATTATAACTTCGATGAAGCGATCGCAGAACTAAGGAAGCTTCGAACGTAGTACACCTTTCAGACAATAAGATATATCCATAAAAATTCTATTAGATGTAATTCCTTATTTATATATTTATTACATAGTACACTTATTTTCAGAAAATAAGATATATCCGTTATAAAAATTCTATTAGATATAATTCCTTATTTATATATTTATTACATATTATATCTATCACACGTGGAAATCTAGGAATTCGCTAGCACATCGATCTTCAAGTATAGTACACTTTTCAGAAAATAAGATAATCCATAAAAATTCTATTAGATATAATTCCTTATTTCCTTCCACGTCTAAGCACACGTGGAAATCTAGGAATTCGAGGAATACCACATCGATCACCTCGAAGCTAACGGAAAGCCAGTAATTTAAGGAAGCTTCGAACACAGTGCACTTTTCAGAAAATAATATAATCCATAAAAATTCTATTAGATACAATTCCTTATTTCCTTCCGCGTCTAAGCACACGTGTAAATCTAGGAATTCGCCGGCACATCGATCACCTCGCAGCAAACGCGACGGAAAGCTCGTAATTCAGGTGAGCAGCTGCAGCGTTCAGCGCGACGCTGCATAAGGCGGTAATAGAACAGTTCCAAGCGTCGCATCGGCGAGGAACGAATCGACGCGAATCGAAAGGCAAATAGCTAAGCGAGACGAGCGGCCCGAGGCGAGAAATCCGCCGATCGAAAGGATTAATCGGGGGCAAGAGGCGAGGAGGGGCGCGAGCATAATCGGGAAGCGTGAAATGGCGCCTCCTTGGGCAACGAGCAATGGTAAAATCCAATTGCGAGGCCATTAAATCCCGGTTAACCGGCGGACCCGTGGAGCCGAGAGGCAAAAGGCCTGCGCGCGCGCGCCGACTGGAGACGTCGGGGCCGAGATTCCATTATGCTTTGAGCAACAATAGCTCGAAGGGCTGTTCCGCGGCCGCGTGGGTGTGAACTGGTGCGTTCTCGTCGGGGCCGTTTATATTCCACGGGACTTGAACGGCCGGTGTTTGCGTTTCACTGAGCCAAATTACCTCTGCCGCCCTTATCCGCGCGCGGGGTGTCCCGTCCCTTTGATATCCAAATGACAATTTAACTGTTTCGGGACACGCCGCGCCGCGACAATCCACTTTGGGGGTCCCGGCGCGGGCCTCGAAAGAATCAACCTACCGTTGCGGTGCGCTTCGGAACGACGATTCACCGGTGGATCTCGTCTTCAACCCTTTCTATACTAACATGAGAGTATTCCCTTGTAGCATTGTTTCATCGATAAAAATCGCTTTAGTCTCCTGCTAAATACTACTTACGATTTAACCCTTTGCACTCGAAAGTTTTTCACTAGAAATATTCAACACTTCAATTTATCGATTAAATTATTTACATTAGTCGCAACAAGCATCGTCTGTATTTTATCAAAGGACAAAACTATTTTACTTTGATATTTCACATAGTGACGCGTTATGCAAAGTTTACCGTTAAACATCAAACTTTATAATTTTACTGTATCAAAGCAAGTGGCGACCGAGAGTCACTCCCCTAGTGCAAAGGGTTAATATTCCCAAACTGATTGAACTCCATCGACAAACTTCGAAAAACTAAGCTGACCAACTATCAATCTAACCACACCTAAGAGTCCAAACCTTCCAATCCTCCATGCTCCAATAACTATACAAATCTCAATCTCCAACACTCCCTTCATTCCCTATCTTCGCCATCTTATTTATTCTATTATTAATTCTATTATTCCCAAAAGAATTGATGCTCGTTTATTTAGATCGTGGAAACTGGAGATTCGATAGTAGGTAATTGGGGTACACATCAATGTGATCTCAATCAAAATCGGCGTAAACATTTCCAAATAATATTTCTAAAATCCACTACGCGTCAATTTGACGTTCCGTAAACCTAGTGTTAACCTCAAAATCGCTCACAGCTCCTCGACGCACATCGAAACACTATCACACCTACTCAACCTAACAGAATCTAACGTCGAGAACGAACCATCCTGCAAGACACATCGACGGCAAAATTTCTATAACCCGCAGGTCGCCGGGACATCGGTCCCAGAAATCACCGCGAAACAAGCTGCCCCTCCCCCGGCCGCGGCGGGGCACGTACGTGGCCGGGAGATCGGCCGACTAATAGTTTTGCTACCGTATTACACACCCTGACAAATCGCGCGAACAATGAAAACAATTTCAACCTCGGCGCACCACCGTCCCCCCCTCCTCTCCCCTCCGCCGCCTCCGCAATATTCCTCGGGGCCCTAAACGGTCGGCATTGTGCCCTCGTCCCGGCCGCGGCCGTTTTTTTCGGCCGTTGACGCCGCCGGTAGGAGAGGCGCACCGACACAGCAGCGGCAGCGGCAGCAGCAGCAGCAGCCACCGCTGAAAAGAGCTGGGCCTCCTGGGACTCTGTATCCGGTATGACGGTGCGTTTATCCGCACGTAATTAACTGGCGCACA